TTAAAAAATCCGCACATAGTAATTTTCTATATTGACCTGAACTATGTTTGATGATCAACCATTGTGACCAACCCCAATCCACTATGCTCCTTTTCTATAACAATCCATGTACTGCATGGATTTTCTTGCAAATTTACGAATTTGATTTAATGGAACCAAATCTAATGCAATTGGGACTGCTCTTACAAGTCCTGTTTAAGTATAAATGTTTCGCATCGTGCATGACAAAAAAAAAGTGTTGTGTATTAACTTTTGTGAAACCAAAAAAAATTAATGCCGGCAAAATTTAAAAGTTTCCCAATCCTTTGGCCCAGGTTAAGTCATAATCTTGGCCAAAATTTTGTGGCTAAATTTTAAAATATGTACACTCACCTACCATAAATATCTGACCACCTGATGATCATTTTAATAATTGGGAAACTTATACCTCACGCAGTTCAAAACTTTATTAATTAAACTGGAACTGGTGCATTAAGTAAATATGTTCTTAAAGTCAATTTTAATATAAACTTAAAGTTTCGTCAAGTTTGCATTATTAATGAATTTGGGATGAAAACTTTAAATTAGGCAAAAAATTTTGTGATTTTTATGAAAACTTTGAGCTTAGTAAAAAGGTTCAAAACTCTGTTGAATCATGGATTATGACATTAAGTAAGTCCACTTAAAATAACTTAATTCGTGATCCGCGATAGAAGTAGACACCACAATTAGTAAATTTTGGGGGATCGTCACTATTAAATGGTTACAATTGACCAACTTCCAAAATTTTTTTACAAGCACACATGATAAATATTACACAGAATATTAAATCATATGATGCAAAAAACCTTTTGGTATATTTTTTATTATTGTTTTCTTTACAAGCTTTTGATTTTGTTACTTAGCAACCATGGATTTCAAAGAATTTTTACTATGTTATTTCATTGTTTTACAAAATTTATAAAAATAAAATTATAATTTTTTATTAAAACAGTCCATGAATGAAGTGAAGCAAGACCAATTATTTATACTAATATATAAAATGTAAG